TTTCAAAAGCTCCAATCAGACTCCCGACACAAGGCTCAAGTAGGGATAATAAACCATCCTATAAAATTTTTGCCTAACAAGATAAAACTATAAGTTGTAAAATGATTTCGAACAGCTTAGTCGAGTTTTTTGCCGTGCAGCGTCTCATCAAGAAATAACGGATAAGGTCCTTATCACTTGTCAACACCGGTATTGTGAAATCAATAAAACCACAGTTTGTCCAAAGAGTAGAATCACGATCCAAAAGTGTCTTTGCTACGATCTGTTGCTATTCCATCATCTTTTTTTTAAGTTCATAGCAAAACATGAGAAAAGTGCAGTATTTTACTCGCCCTTTTGTATACAAAACTTGCATAAAAATTTTAGTGCTCATTTTTTGTCAAAACTTTGCTGGTTTCTGACATATTTAGACAATTCTCAGTTAATAGTTTTACTACACAGGAAATGGCAGTGCAGTCGAAAGTGCATGCTCCGGTTACCAACGAAAAACATGGACGAACGTTAAATGTAACCCAATATATCGATTCAATATGTGTTATCTGATTACTTTGGGTATAACGAATTGTACATCCTCAACTTATTAATAAGTTATATACTGAGTTTTACGAAGGCAAATAATTTGGTCTACTAAGCTACTACCTTCATTTGCCAATTTTGAAAAGATAATTGCTTGGATCGATGTAATCTATATTAGTGAATACCTAAAAGTCACAATAATTTGGGAAGAGAAATTATGGTAGTGAGTGGCTTCAACTGAAATAATATCGAAATTCGTATGCAAATGGGCTTATTTTTTTAAAGGAATGTTATAGATGTAATATTTGACCACATGTGAAAAACGTGATGTAAATTAAAATATAAATCTCATAAGTACATAAAATACAATTTTAATTATCTGAACTTGAGCATTAGGGCATGATTCGTGGTGTACTTTGCAGAGATACTCTTCCTCTGGGATGTTAAATAATAGGAAATCAATTAGGAGTGACATGACGGTATTTATTCGAAGAACATTTATGAGCTAGCGAGGACAGACAATCATCTTAAAGAAAAACAGTGTAGTTGGTATCAGTTGTGTCAGTTCTTGGACATGAAAATACCAAATTAAATCATTCTCATGTTTCCAGAATAAAGTCATTACGCAGGATATTACACCAATTTTTTTCGAAAAGAGTGGCTTTGGATGAAACATATGCAAACTAATTGCCAATGTAAAAATTTATCTAGATAAATTTCGGGGTAACTTAAAACTTATATATCAGGATTTCAAATTAATGCAGGCATTTTCGAATGTAAAATTTTGACTAATTTAAAGCCAAAAGTTTAATAAAAGGAAATGTCATCTAAAGTGTGACATCTGCTCAAAGCCTTTTTTTATTTTTTAAATGTAATATTGTCACAGATACCTAAAATTTTAAAAACTTCAACCAGCAAAACTGATGTCAACTAAAATAGATTGCCTCGTTTGTCCTACATAGTTATTACCAAGAGTAGAAAAGGTTAGTAATTAAAATACGATCTATAGGTTTTGTGTAAATGAACAGACCTATTTAATTACTTTAAAAGATGTATTTAATAGAAGGGGTTGTGAGAACGCGAAATGCCGTTCAAAATAAGATCTTTTGAAGGCAATGACCTTCCTAGTGTAAATAAAAGAGACTACAAACCATGATAAAGAAAAGTTTTACTTTTTGCTGATGCTCTAGTAAGTAGGTAATTTTTTATTTACATGCAAATGAATTTTTGAATTCAGAATCAATGATGCGAGCATCGTGAATCTACTTAAGGTTGACATAGTCCATTATAAAACAGAACGATAGCTAAATTGGTAATTTTTGACAGAAATTAATGCATTACACAATCCTGCATAAATCATATTCACAGTGATATGATGTACCTTGTCATATAGTTGATTTTGTGTTTGAATATTTTGATATTACTGCGTATTTGTAAATCTACAGTTAGCCAACCAGGAAGTAAAATATACTCTGTTTTGCTGCTTCTTTAGCCTTTGGTATTTGTCTTTGGTAGTAAATGGATAAGTTAAATAAGCTTGTAGAAAGACTTGAAAATATTGCTGATCGTCTGGAAACAGCAACAATTCGCGACAAATCTGTCAAATCTACAACAAATAAGCTAAATAGCTCTGCGCTTGTCAACTCTTCAAGCATGACTTCTTTTGACAATATCACCAACAGCTCTCTTCAAAATTTGTTGTCCCTTAGTCAGAAAATCGGCGAAGATGTCAAATCTCAAGTATAACTGTAATTTTAGTCTCATTTTTTATAGTGTGATTTACTCATCGCAGCTTTCAAGGCTGAATCAGAGTTCATTACTCGGGCACATAATATGGCCAAACCAGCTGATTCACAGTTTCCAGTCGTTCTTAAACCATGTTCTGAAGCTATCCAAAAGGTTACCGAGTTTAAAGACTCAAATCGCAAGAGCCCCAACTTTAACCACTTAGCTGCGATAGCTGAGTCGGTCGGTGCTCTTGGATGGGTTGCCTCGGTATGTTGTCGTTGAACAACATTATGTTTTTTTTAGCTGGACTCACCCTCTACATATATAAATGAAATGATTGAATCTGGTAAATTTTACTCAAACAGAATTCTGAAAGAGTACAAGAACAAGTAGGTTCCTTATGTTTTTTTCCGAAGATTTCCCGTTCAAGTTTTACGATAACTGTTTGTTTTTTTTCGAAGTTATTACCATTATCATCTTTTTTCTTAAAACCAGGATGCAAGTGATTTTTATAACCTAACCTTCCTGACCTGTGTACTTCCTTTCTCAACCTAAATTCACTTTAACCTTAACACGAGTCCCACCGATTCAATTGAGTGTTTCTGCTTTGTTCAATCACGGCTTGAAAATTCTGTTTTGCATTTAGACGCCCAACTGTTACGAATGTTTTCTGATGAAAATTTATTTAACTTTGATTGCTCGCTCTTCGGATCTCTTATGAATCATCGCTCTTGTTGAAATTTCGTCACCACACGAATTTGCAAAATCTCGTTTTTTGCCCTCACTTTACTCCCTATGCACTTTATTTAACGCACTATCGTTGCAGTGACGGCCCTAATTTATCTTCAAATTGTGTTTACAAGCAATTTCAAAATTTTTTTCACAGAGATTCGAATCATGTTGAATGGGTAAATGCCTTGATGGAGGTGTGGAATCAATTGAAATCCTTCGTTTCCGCTAATTACCCTGCTGGTCTGACTTGGGGCAGTGGTGGAGGCAGTGCGGCTGCCAGCTCTGCTCCGCCGCCGCCGCCGCCACCACCACCACCACCGGCTCCCGCACCTTCTTCCGGCGTAAGTTATGTCTCAGTTCAGTTCTTTCGAGTAATTCCGTCCTTAGTGTTGGTCATTTGTTATTAGTTGCTTAATTTATTTATATGCTCACTCTCATTTGGAGTTTTAAAGATATAAATAATAACTTGAAATATTTGTGCCTGATCAAATTAAACTTGTCAGAAGTCCTTTATTCGAATAAGAATTGTAGGCCGATGGACCTATTAATGTGACAATTTCTCATTCGTTTAGGTGCGTTGTTATGCAGTCATGGGCTTCTAGAAAGTGCTATCTTGATAGGGTATCTCGTCTTAGTCTTTTTACAAGGCGAAATAACGTCGTATCGACGGGAGCTCTCTGCACTTCACCTTGACGTATGACGTAATCGGTGGCTGAGCTGTTGTGCTATTGTGCGTTATGTAGCCATATTCCACAGGGACACTTAAAGCTTATAACCAGGAGCTGTCGGTGTTGGAAAAGCAAATTTCTAAGCTAGTCAGCACCGTGCGTTCCACTCTGGGTCAGTCCATGTTAAGCACAGTAATTTGTCACGGCACGAATGTTTTAGGATTCGAACTTAAGATTCCCAGGTTTAGTCCAATTCTAATTTACTGTTGCTGGTTGAAGTTACTATTGATTGAAGTTTACGCTTCCCTCCAGACCCATTGGTGCATACGAGAACTAATGCGTATTGGTTTGTTTGCTTTTGTGTGGCAGCCTAACGCTTACAAAGTCCTCTCGTGATCTTGGTCTGTAAGCGCTGCTCTAATTCGTTCACATCAGTAGGGTGTGCTCTAGTGTGTGTGAAGAAATTGAAGTAGCCAAATTGCAATAATCCCTAGCAGATGTATTGTATGGATCGAGATTAACTTTTAGTGTTTTCCGTTTCAATCACTTTTGGCAAATACGCTCGCGATACGCGCTAGAATTTAAACGTCTTCTGCTTTGGTCGTAAAATAAGTGGATCCCTAATGTGAACACTCTAGACCATGATAAGTCCAAGTTCCTAGTCCAAGTATAACCTCGCTCCTGTTTTCAGGGGTGGACTTCGGGCATCTGGCATCCACCGTAGTTGGCAGCTCCAGTGCAAAATGCAGCCAAATAGTCTTCACCAAAAGCAGCTGCTTTTACACGATTTTTAACCAGGCTTTGATAGTTCTGGTCTCGTTCATTATGCAAACGTCCCCGGAGCATTCCCTGGTTAATTGTACTTCAAATGTCATCGACATACCAGCGCTTCCAGTTGCGTCAAGGCGATGTATCGCGCGCCTCAGTTTTGCCAATCTGTGCGCTCGTATGTTGTTAACACTCGTCTGTCTTCACCAACACATTTAGTTAGTAAAAGTTATTTGATTTAGCGTACGCCTCCCTATATTGTACACCGGGCATTTGAATTAATTAAGTAATGTCTTGTTTAATTTATCGATAAACAGCTGTATGTAAATGATAGGGGAGAAACAGGCGTTGAGTCAATGTGAATGACGTGTAAGAACATTCGGGACTGAGAGTTTGTATTGGACCTCTGGGGAGTGGTGTAGTAGCTCGTCTATTGGAGTCGATAAATCTGACCTGATGTTATGACAACACCTCCTTGAATGAATTTCGGTCTATGTTGCATGCATAGGGATAAATCTACGACACTATGTAAAGAGAATGCTCATTAAAACCATAAATCACTGATAAGGGGCCTCCTGCGTGTTCCGCTCCCGTGGAACAAACATGTCACGGCTAAAATTCTGAAGTTATCGTAGCTAATATAAACATTTGTTGACAGTTTGGGTAGCGAGCAACATAACGATGTGGAGAAGGTGGATTAAGTACTTTGATATCTGGCAGAGTCAAAGTTATTCTCACACAAGATCTGGTAAAACGGGAGTCAGTGTCGGTGCTGATTTTGGATGCGACGTCTTTTAGGCGTCGCTCTCTGAGGTGGGCGGTTCGCCTCCGTTGTGAGGTAGAGCTAAGCGCTTATGCTCTTCTGCTAGTTGCCGAAATGCATCTGGGTTTTAAGCCTTCTGGTGAGGAAGCAAATGAATGTTTCCTTTTAACCGAACATACTCTCGATTAAAGCAGTCGATTCGCGGGACTTAATTGTCTTTGTTTTGCTGTAGGCTGCTCACGACAGCATCACACTGGGGAAACCTATTTATGATTAACTACATCGGGGTCACCAACTCAAAACGTAGTCATTTACGTAAATTTATGGTTTCTAGTTAGGGGCATTAAGTAATTGAGTAATAAATTTAAGTTAAGCGCGTCCAAAATGTGGTATTGTAGCCATTCCTTGAAATCAAGTCGATCGTTTGGGTACCTTTTTTGGCGCTCGGTTGTATTTTAACCACTCTGCCGTTGTACTCGCAATTTAGGCCACGGCGGCTAGCACGGATGCTTTGTTTGCCGACATTAACCGTGGCGACGCGGTTACCAAGGGTCTTCGCAAGGTTACCGACGACATGAAAACCCATAAAAACCCCGAACTCCGCTCCGCTGTTGCCCCAGCAACCTCAAAGCCGAAGGCCCCTGCGATTCCCGCTCGACCTGATCAGCGAAAACCGACGCAGCCGAATCCAAAGCTGGAGTTTGCTGGCAATAAGTGGTTTGTGGTAGGTCGGAGTTGAACCTTGGTGCATTTTTACTCCACTGTTAATTCCCCATATCGACGTAACTAACCGTATCTCTCGTAGGAACTTGTCACAAAATCACAGGCTACTTTACTGTCACCATGATCTCCACCAAGTTATCTTGTCAATGGCCTAGTTAAAGCCTAAATAATCGGTTTTTCCCCCAATAGGAAAACTACGTTGGCAATCGCGAAATCATTATTGAAGCCAAGGAGAAGAAGGAGACGGTGTATATCTTCAAATGCGTCGACAGCGTCGTCCAGGTCAAGGGGAAGGTTAACTCCATCGTTTTGGGTATGCCTTTAGGATATTGATCATGTTTGAATAGTTCAGCGTTGTGCTTTGCGGTATGTTCACCGTTATTAAGAGCATAGTTTAAATGAGAATTGGCCCTCGTGAATCATGGGTACGCGACGCACTTATTTTCAAACTTTTGAAGCAATGGAAACAGCGCGCCTCAAGAAGCCAGAAATTAGCTTGGCGTGTCACCCACTTGTTGCTGTCTTACTCAGTCCCGAATTATGAAAATAGCACAATCTAATGCTCACTAATTCAATTAAAAGTTATCGCCACATAGAGACCCTAGTTTAATTTATTTCCGAAGGACATTTAGCACTCACCTTCCTCTTGTCGGAATGTGCCAAATTCAGTTTGGGGTGATGTGGGGGTGATTTTTCACAAAATCCAAGTTTGTTAGGTGGGGCAGGCCTAAACTTCTACATTGGCCAAGATCTAGCCACCCACGACAATAACATGCAGCCAAGTTACCATAAATTTCATGGCACGCATAGACATGCGAAAAATGTGAACCGTTCCTTGGCCTTTTTGCAACTGTTCAGGCATGCTGCACGCGTGTTTGTCCGGTCTACGAGCCATAAAAAGGGCGAGGTTCGCCGTTCATTGCTTAATTCCGCCTTCGTCTGCACAAACTTCAGAGCTATTTCACGTTAAGACCAAATCTGCCCTTCAAACCGCCAGAGCATGCTTGTCGTGTTGTAATGCAGACTTCGGCGCTATCTTATTAAGCATTTTTATCCGTGCCTTCAGGCCCACAAACTTGGATATGCTTGATCGCATTCATACATTGTCTTGTTTCACATTTTTCGAGCTATTGTGTGCGCACATGCACACCCCATTTACACCAATCACGTCCTGCTGGCCTTGCGCTAATCGAGAGTGTGGTAAGGGGTAGGAGGAAACAGTCATGTCGTAAGAAATAATTTAAGTAGACGCTAATTGTCTAACATTAAAATCACGATGAAGCTTGAAGTACTTGGCCTAGATATGATCCCGGCAGCAACTAACTGTGGGGTATTTTGATACACAGCAATGAACGCCACTCTTCCCAGAGGCTAGTGGTCAAGTCTTGCAGGGTTGGTAAGTTTTAAATCCAGTCTCCTGGCAGCTCCTGCTATAGGTAGTCTTTTTGATCATCGCCATTTCAACCACATGTACGGGCTAGTTGCCGTCGTAGCTGAAATATGCCTTTGTCTAGTAGCTAGTTATGACGCTTGTATTCATGTTTGTCTTAATCCATTTCAACCTTATCAATTATTTCCCATTTTAGATAGTTGTAAGAAGACGTCGCTTCTCTTCGACACAGTTATTTCGTCTGTCGATATTGTTAACTGCGCAAGTGCTCAAGTCCAGGTACTTTTAACCCGTCCCGCGAAAATAATTGGGCGTTTTTCATGCTTAAAAGGCATTTGAAAGTTGCGTGGTCTTAGTATACTGATTTACCACGTCGTAGCAGGTGTTTCAGCAACAGGCGAAACGAGGGCCGATTGTATTAAAGGTTCTACCTACTCACCTTCTAGGTGAGTTGCACTCACCTGCTAAGCATGAGGTCAAGAGTGCTTACATTTGCCCCGTCACGTTTTTGCCTTGCTTGAAGTGCATCGACTTTTACAGCTGGAAATTCAACCGTTCCCGGTTAAGTGCCATATTGTCTGGTTATTCTTACGACTCGGATGCTCTATGCACCTTGTGCTAATACCATAATGTGACACTTAAGCGTGTCTTGGCTTGTTTTGATGTACTCTGACCGTAGATGCATGGTGACAACTATGGGGTGATTTGCAATCGCTCCGTTTTATTAGCTACGATTGTGAAATGCCACAATACCTTCGATCGTTGAGTTCTTCATAGACTGAAAACGAACGACATTCGTCTAGCTATTATTATCCGTATTTAATCGGTTAGGTACTGTAGTTATTTGAGACTTTTCACTTCGGTTCCACATGCACCCCCTTTCCCACGAGAAGTACAATTTCAATGTTGTATCGCATCCAATGATTTCTGTAGGTAACGGGATTCATGCCAACCATAAACATTGACAAGACAGACGGCTGCCAGGTGTATCTAAGCGAGGAGTCTAAGGGTGTCGACATTATCACTGCCAAATCGTCCGAGATGAACATCCTTATACCCAAAGACAACGGAGAATTCGTAAGTTAATGCTCAGCTACTGGGACCTGCCTGTTTCCGAATCACATACACTTGCAACTTTCAGGTTGAATATCCAATCCCGGAGCAATTTAAGACCAAATTCGTTGTGGACCATCTCGAGACGAAGACCAACGACCTGGCCTGAAGGCCAAAACGTTTAACACCCACTGTTCTTACTCCTGCACATGCATGCCAGCGCTAATAATAACTATGCTTCATCTCCACTTGCTCTTCCTCCTTGACTTTTGGATTTAATAAACACCTGCTTCTTACGATCGTTGCTCTCTTCCGCCAATACCCTCATAACCATGAAGCCACCCAGGTAACACCGAGAAACCGGCAAACAAGACTACAAGGGGTCTGGAAGCCATTCTCATTGCGTAAAGTTTTATATACAAAGGGTATGTACAATACTTAGGAAATAATTCAAGAGTCTATTTTCATTGATTTTGGTGGGATGTTATTAGACTCTCCCATTGAGTCAAACTTGCGCTTCCTTGAAATGCGTGGATTAAATGTGCCGGCTTCAAGCTGTCGCAGTCGATCCTCGAGGTACGCCCTTGCTCGAATTCCCATTTCATTGTCTGCGTCCTCGTCACCAAGGGCATCGAGACGAATAGACAACGCGGCCTTCGCCGCCAACATTCTCGAAATTTTTCCTTTGATCGTTGGACCGGCTTGTCCGACCAAACTAGCGTGGTAGAGCAACCCATATTTCGGTGTGCTATGATGCGTCTTTAAAGCACGGAAGAGGGCCTTCTCCGCGCCCAAAATTTGCACGGTCGATGCCGGATACTTCGCAAGGTTCACCAAGGTTCCTGCACGCGCAATGAGACGCGCACCCAGGATCTCACCAACTAATGCTGTAAGATTGGGAGCGACAGCGACCATGCGCTTGACGAGGTACTCGTGGAGAGTATTCCGAGATTCGGCCACGTCAACCACTTGATCACAGAGAGAATGAATCATTTCCACGTCGTCTTTAGTTAATTCGGTCCCTAAGGAAACAATCGCCGCATCCCGAACCTGGGCTATTAATTCTTCTGGTAGAAGGTCGGAGAGGTCCATCTTCGCTGCATTTTCCCTAATGCCGATTCTCTTCACGACTTGAACGTAGGTCATGTTATCTGTCACAATCTTTGAAAGCTCTGGAAAGTGCCACCCGTACATCTCTTTACACCGCATCACATAGTTGTTTGATTCCTTGTCAAGTTCATCAAGAAGACCGATTGCCTGAACGATCATCGTGTCGATCTTGTCTGGGTTGCACTTCAACTTGTAGCGGTCAAGGCTGTGAGCTAAACCCAGCCGCATCCTCATAATGTCAGATTCTCCAAACGCTGGAATTAAGCTGCTTAGTTGTGAACGAATAGCTCGCATTAGGTTTTGGACTGACGAATCGGCAATGGTGGGCACATTCATTTTGCTCTAGAAGAAGAATTACAACACACCAGAACTAACTGTTATTTCCTGGGACAACTTTTTATCCGCCACAGCAAGAGCGTCCTCACGTATCTCTTTGACGTACAGCTTCTTTAATAGTTTCTTTAGTTTTTTCGAGATCTTGCCCTCAATAGTATCGGCGGCAGCTGGAATGTGGAATCGAAATTTGCATTATAATTTGGAAAATACTCGTTGCAATGTAAGTAACAACAGTAATGTTTAAGGGTTCGCAACAAATAACATACCGACAAGAGCTTCTTTTGTATCTTCAAACTTCACAAACTTCTCCAGTTGGACCCTGTATAAAGAAATCGGATCGAAAGAAATGCACAAAACATGTAATTTCAAGACGCAAGTCAGTACGGTAAAAGTATCAACCACAAAAGCTGCAGAGACTCTAGTCCGTTGTATCATCATTGTTCATTTGGCGAAGGGCACACAACAAAATTCTTACATTTGGTTCATGAATTCAGTGTTCTCGAACTCCTTAGCCAGGTCCTTGACTTCTTCCAGCTTCTTTTCATTCTTGACTTTGAACACGGCATAGCCAGCGGCGGTCTCGAATAGCAGAAGCATGTCGCACACGTGCAGAACTGAAGAGAGTAATAATTAAAACAACAAATGCGTGGGGTTCCAATCATCAACAAAAGCTGGACACCGTATAGTATAACAAGCATATAATTGTCATTGATGGGAAGATAAAAAGCAACTATTATTTTAGTTTCAATATGGTCTTCAATATATTTTTATAAAAACCAACTAAATGTTCACTAATATTGTGAATTCTTTGCAAGTGGCTACGGGCAGAAACTCAGATATGCTAGAGTTTTAAAACCCAGACCAGGGGTTGAATTTTTTTGCGAAGCTGTAAATGTTAAATTCTATTACATTGACAGGGTGTCAGAAATCGAAATCATGTCGAATAATAAGCATTGCAATATCGTAATAGTGTTTTCTCTATTTGATGATAATTACGGTATTCTGCCTCATTGCATGGAAAAAAATTATTAATTGACCATATGATAAATATTTAGTTACAGTTTTAGGTGATCCAGTATGCAGATATCGCCAATGGTCTTGGTTTAGATGACATACATTTGGTAACAATATTCAAGTTAGCATTTTAGGAGGGGGGTTTAGTTATTGACGACATATGTGCCCGTTTTTCTTTGCGCTACAAAGGTCAGAGTCAGATAAGAATAACAATATGGATTGTTTTTATCAGGTACTTCTTAACTTTGTGTTATTCCACCTCATTTCACGTAAGCATATCAAAACGGCTGAATTTTTCAACTCGCATGTGTGCAAATAGACTGTCCCTACAATATGACAGGACTTTTAGAGTAGAAAGTCTAATTGTAAATCGAAAGAAAACAAAGGCAAAGGGAAAATTAAGCTACATGAGATGCAGAACATTTATCAAATAAGTGGCCTAACGAGACTTTGAACAAGTAAGTATCTGACCTATCAGTTATAATATCGTGTCAAAAACTACTTAAGTGTTTAATTTGTAAAACCACAACTTTAATCAATCTAATTTTGTGCCTTTGTTGTTTTTTTGCCTCTTTATTTCCTTTCTCATATTTTGGTACTCTTCAGAGCACTGAGTTTTAACTGACTTCTACTTTCCCATAGTAAAACAATGCAAACAGCCTGCATACAGCCGTCTGTTCATGCGATTCGAAAGCAATGTACGTTGGTGAAGCAAATAACAATTACTCTGCAATTGCTATTTCCACGTCATTGACACCTCGTCATGAGGGAGTCCCACCTCTGGTGACATAATTATTAGCTGTATGTAGGGGTTTTACTATGTATTTTGGATTTTTTTCGTTAAACTTGGTATTCGTGGCCACCTTTGTCTTTGATTGTACAGTTTTTTTACTAAATGCCCAAAAGAGATTCAACCACTCATATTTATTAATGCTCTTACTCTTCTTACTGATAGGCATTTTTCACGTTAGGTCTCTTTTTGCTCCATAATTAATCACCTAACTATTATCTTTTCCCGATTTCTTAGGAAATGTTTGTGCTAATGCAATGAATTCATGGCAGTTCAATTTGTGCACACATCCAGCTAACTTGCTAAGGACACAAAAAAGTTTATTGAAATTTTCTAAATTTTATTCATTGAATAGAGTCTTGATGCATGAAACATCTAATGCAGTACTTTTGTGCTTCCACTAGAAGTTGTTTTTAATATGGATTCACATCTGTTTTTGCACAATAAACTAAGAATTGACAGTTCAATTTATAACATTTTTTTGAATCAAGTAATAAATTTTTAAATGTACCTAAAACAGCAAGTTCCCTTTTTACTAATTTTCATCATTTCTATCGCAGTTGTAATATCCGGAATGTTTCACGATGCCGTGGCACACTAATTTCTTTCATCATAATAAGTTAGCAGGATGAAATTGACATGTAATAAAACAGTTTAAGGCCGTCAGGAAAATGAAATGAAATATATAAATCTTTTTTGTTCAATAGGTCTGTAATTATTTTTACTTAGCTCCAGTGATATACCTAAATTTGCCAATATTTGTGCATAAATATTTCTAATTCGCGATATTGCAGTATACTCAAAACAGTTTTAGCACAGACATAAATGGACTGCCATGGTGCTTGGGCATAGGTCGAGGGGTTGAATTATCTCGATTTCTTACCTTTTAATAGTTAATCGGGAAAATTGTTATAATGTGCGTGAAAAGTATGGCTACATTAGTGACAGTGCATATAATTATTTATTTCTCTCTATAAAAACTAGTCGTTGAGATGTAATTTCGTGGTCATGATGACTTGTTGCCGATTAATTGCTTCAGTAACCAAAAAGGCGACATTGTCAGTGATGCGTATCCTAAAATGAATCCCGATAATAAAGTTGGATTGTTGATTAAATTGATGTTCTTCACAAAAACATGTGGCTCCAGTGAAGAGCGTCATTTTGAAATGGTGGGAAGATCAAGAACGCATCATGGTTATTCACTAGAAATTAATTACGCTATATTTTTCACGACCAGACTTTTATTAAAGTACTGATTTGCAATTCCTGTGAAATGAGCACACATATATCAACGGCTTTTTGAAAAAAAAGTAGTATATTATTCAAGGGCTATTCGCAACTGTTATATTCTGTAAGTACATATAATGGCTCACTGGAATTCAATGAAGAATGAGGGTAACCTGGTGCATTGAAGAGGAAGCGTTGACTGATTTCTAAACCATCTTTTAATACTGATGAATTCAGGCTACAAGGACGAATATATCGAAAACAATGTGCTAAGAAAAAAGCAAGGCTTTAAGAAATAAACAAGGTGTAATTCAAACTCTAAAAGTGTAAACGACAAGTTAGGGTCTTTAAATTAATGTCCATGTTGAAATTTCCGTGCATTTTTCAAAAAAAATGAACTGGCTAATGTGTTGGTAAATCATTTCCAATAGGATATTAGCCTCAGATTTCGCCGGGATTCGGCTCAACGTAAACATGTTTTTATTACAAATCATTATTTCTTCCAAATTTTCCCGCCTTTTAAAACTAAGCAATTAAATCGACAGACTTTTGTTTGTAATATAATGCACTAACTGAAAGTTTTTGTTATATGAAATCTAAAATTCGTGTATACCGGTATCTACGTTTTAAAAAGTAAACGCTAATAGCGCTTCCAACAGGAATGCTATCACCTAATCGGTACAAACTTAGCAGCTGAGTGTTGAATATACCGAATAATGAACGTTTTTCAAGTTAATGTTCCTGATACTGCCCCAGCATAGCATTGAAAAGCGATTTAGTAAAGCCAAAATTCCAAGCTAACACCGTTCATGCTTTTTCCTTACTTTTCTATACTTTCCTAAAAACCACCCACTGAACACGACTTGGTAGGCATTACATTTAGTTAGTTTCAGTAGGCAGTCTGGCACCAACTAAAGTATCATGATTACGGACTGGTTATAACGTGATACAGATTTCTTACTAAATTCCCTATGTTTTGGTATCTTCGATTTAGAAACGACCCATGCAAATGAACATTTACCTAACGCAGTTGTCTGACAGGCCATGATATTTAGCTCTTGCTAAAAATTATTACTAAATTCTGATCGCAGAAAAAAAAGGAACACAATGTTTAGAAATCACCATGCTTAATGTGTTGCAGGCTTGGATGTGCGATGTTTTGACAGGTAGGTCGTGCGGCACTTACCTATTCACCGAAATGTGAACAACAGGATGAAGTTAAGCGGCCAAGCACTAGGCAGGGATGAAAAAGATTTACACTTGGCTGAATTTTAGTCTTCATTCACGAGGAAAGTAAGAACAGTTAAAAAATAAATAAAGATGGTCTCCGTTAAGCGAAATAGTATTCTCTACGTCACGAGCGAATCCAGTTGCTGCTGGCTCACGGAATTGATAAGAATGCTAAAGATTTCGGAAAATAACATTGAAATTTCAGAAACCATACCAAGCACTCAACTTTGAGAGAGTGAGCAGATGCAAGTCATAGAAACCGGGGAGGAATACATGTATACAAAGCAGCACATAGTTTTGAAGGACTAGAAAAGGACATGATAGTGTAAAATTTGAGAAACAAATACACTGGTTGAGTACAAACGTGCTATTTACAATGTATTGGGGATGAAGTAGGCACACGTCCTACATGTTGTCGAAGTCCAAATTGTGTAGTGATCAGCACCACCACCACCACCGTTGTTGTGCAGTATTTATTTATTCATGGAATTGACATTCGAAAAAGTCTCTTTGTTACATATAAATGACAACGAGGTGTTGGGGGTGCGCGAAAACTGAACCTGCTGGTGGTCAAACAAGGGGTACTCCAACGTGAACAGGTCCTTTAATAACAGCAATAACAAAAACTACAAATGGATATCTCTACAACAGTAGATAGCATAATCCGGAAAGGAAACTTCGTTGGGGTCTAGGCTTAAGGTATTTCCTCTGCTGATTTCAGACTCGGGCCACTGAAACTTCGCTTTTATGC